GTCTCTCTTTAGCCGGGATTGCACAGTGGCACCGGAGCGCTGAGTTCGATAGCTGGGCAGCGCCTGCGCGACTCCTACTACTTCCGGCGGCCTCCTTCTCGGTTACCCGATTATCGGCTACATCTCCGTGCGGAGCTGTGGCTTGGTGGTCCTTGGGTGATTGGGCTGGAGGCTTGTATCACCTTTGGTTGTGCAAGCGAGTGAATTCATGGACGACAAAGGCGGCGACAATGGCTATGGGGCTTGGGGGAGGGTTCCCGTATGGGACGGCTCCCCTTTGACCTGGAGGTCCTTCAAACGAGAGATGCAGTGGTGGCTCTCCAGCTTGGATGCTGAGTCAACCAAGAAGTACAACTTAGCAGCTCGATGGCTTCTTCGCCAAAGCGGCACCGTGCGCCAACGTGGCGAGGAATTCAGTCCTGATGAATTGCAGTACCAGAAGGGCGAGTCCTACATCGATCCCGAGACGGGCGAAGCGGTGGAGATCACGGCCGAGGACCCCTTTGCCGGCATCCACCGCTTGATGGACGCGCTTGAGCAGATGAATGGCCAGTCCACCCTCGACAAGAGAGGCGAATTGCGAGCGCAATTCTACTTGCACATGTGCCGCAAAGCTGGCGAGCGTGTCGCCGACTACTCCTCGCGCTTCCGAACAAGCATTGCTGACTTGCGGGCTGAGGGGGTTAAGCTTCCGGATGCTGAGCTTGGCTGGTTCTATAAGGAGAAGCTTGGGCTGGATCCCCTCCGAAAGCAGTTGTTGGAGACCGCTTTGGGCGGATCTGAGGCCTATGCCACCATCGAGTCGGAGGCTCTGCGTCTTTTCCGTGACCTTCATTCGCAGGACCCGCTGTTCAGGAGACTCGACCGGCCCACGAATAAGTTAACCATCCGGAGGATGTTCCCTGCGCCCTCGTCCTCTTCGGCTCCCTCCTCCTCCTCGACGACCAGCGGTGCCCCTTCGACCCGACGATCGTCGATTTCCTCTATGGCGTCTTCGGCGGGACAGCTTGCCAGGCGGCAGCAGACTCGTCAAGTGCACGTTTCCGAGGCGGCCGTCGAGGACGTGGTTGACGACTCCTTTGAGGCCCTTGCCGAGGACCCCGTTGTCGACGACGCCGAGCTCGACGGCGAGGACCGGACCCTCGAGGAGGTGCTGCAGACCGAGGTGGAGCAGCTCGCCGAGGAGATCGCCGAGGCTGAAGCTGAGGGCGTTACCCTTGTCATGGAGAATGGAATCGAGGCGAGTGCTGAAGCTTTGGTGTCGATGAGGGAAGCCCGCGTGAAGCTGGCCGAGGTCAGGAAAGACCGTGGCTTCAAGGGGCCGGCTTCCTTTGGGGTTCTGGGGCTGCCAAGGGCCGTGGCCGTGGATCGGCCAGCATCCAGGCCAAGAAGAAGGATGGCAAGCATGTGTGCTTTGACTGCGGCTTGCCGGGACACTGGGCTGGCGACGATGGCTGCACCAAGCCTGGGCAAGGGCTCGGGCGGGCCAAAGGCAAGGGCGCGCCGGNNGGAGGCCGTTTCGGAGCACGAGGTGGTCCAGACTGAGGCCGGCGATGTTGTGCCGAGGGACGTGCTGATGATTAGCGCCGAGCCGGGCCGAGCTTTGCAGCAGGCTTTTGAGATGTCGGTTGCCAGGGCCGAGGTGAATGTTGCTGCTGCCCCTGGCCCGCTTGCTGCCGATAAGGCTGTGGTTGGAGCTCTGGACAGCGCGTGCAATCGCACCTGCGCCGGCGAAGCCTGGATTGAGGAGTACATTTCGTTGCTTCGGGATGCCCCGGCCGAGGTGCAGGAGCTGATTCAGAAGACGCCCGAGACCGAAA